CCTATTGATATGGATGAGAATAATGATGAGGCTAAAGAAGAAATTTTTTGTTCTTCTTTGAAGACAAACTCTTCTAATGAGACTTAGTAGTAACAACAAGTAAGTTTGGATTAGTGGTTATTATTACTTTTCTTTATAGTGTTGTTATTTTTAGACAAAGTTGAGACACGTGTCTTATTTTAATGTTACACATTCCTGTTTTTACTTTTTCTTTTTATGTCTTACTTTTCTCTCTTTTGTCTTACTTTTGTTACTAATTTTATTAATGTCTTTGTCTTATTACGGATGGCCACAAGTGGTGCAGTTGGTCAACTACTTGAGAGACCCCATGCTATTGGCACCTTAGAGTCCACCTACCGGAGCAGGAAGAGGGGGTTATTTCCTTACGCATTTACTTTCACACGTGCACCCCCACGTGATACCGGGGAAAGCGAACGATGACCTTAGTAGAGGAGGAGGTGGAGTTGGGTTTTTTTTTTATTAATTTTATTTTTCAACATTGCTTTGAACTTATGTGATGGAATATTTGGTGAAATTTATTATTGATATTTGGGACTAATTGTAACTTTATTTTATTTTTCATTATTGATATTTGTTGGAGCAATAATATGTGCTAATATAACAAGATAATATGTTTTTTTTGATATGCATTGTTTCTTGCGTGCAGGTTGTTCGGATGTAATCTTTTTTTTTGGTAGCAGGTTAGCGTCTACTTTGCGTCTGATTTGCGTTGAACATCCAGATGCATAAAAGACAATCATTTTCCACTATTATTCGATATTATCTGCCACAAATCCGACAATAATCCAACACATAAATTTAACATCGGATTGCTTAGACTCAACTTCAACTGCGTGTGTAGCCTCATTGATAACTGACACTAATAAGACGTAAATAATTTACGGTGATTTTTTTCTTCGCAAATGAGAAGTAAATTACATTATCGACCCTCGATTTACTTTTGAAAAAAAAAATGACGCAAAACTGATGAAAATCTGACGATAATACTTAATTATCATCGGATTTGCCTTCATTTTATGTCAAATATGTCCGACGCAAATTTTCTCAATTTTTGTGGTGAGACCCATTCAATAATTCATTTGTGTTTGGTTGATGAGATTTTGATAGAATTTTGAGAAAAGAATTGTAACAGTTTATGTCTCATGTTTCTCTCTAATAAATTTTATTAGATGAAGCCACTCTATTTAATCCATATGCCAAAAAAAAAATTCATATCTAAATATATTAAATTATAGTATTCAATATTTAAAGAATACTATGTGATTATTAATGATAATATCAAATTTTAATATTAGTATGGTCTTTAACTTAGTTTTATAAGTTCTTTTGAGATACCATATTATATTATTGTGATACAATAAAGATAGAGGGTGTCAAGTATTCTTGTCTTCTAATATTTATTATTAGTTGAAAGAAATCATAGGAATAAGAGTTTTCTTTTAATCATTGTAGGAGTAAATCTCTAAAATAGATTACTATAACTATATATATATATATATTTGATGCTATTATAAGACTGAAAAATCACATAGAATGAATTATTTTGCTTTGAAGAAAAGATAACTAGAAAATTCTAGTCATAACAGGATGAGTCAATGATGTAGGTATTGATGTAAATTTGATCATGCTAATTTGGTAATAGAATATAATAGACAAAGATAAAAAATACTCAACTAGCTCTAATCATATTCATTCTAATTTAATCACATTTTTATAAAGCGTTGCGTTCCCAAATCAGTTGGTAGGCATCACTTCATCAGTGTAAGTCTCATATGGTCTAGGGTTCGAATCCCCCCAAGTGGTTGATGCTATATGGGGGTGGTACTCGAGTGGTTAGGCACATGGGTCCAACCCAGACATGATGGGTTGCGATCCAGGGGTGGTTGGCAGTTTTGCCCGTCAACCATCTTTGAAAAAAAAATAATACATTTTTTATATAAAAGCGAAAATTTGTTGGCTATACTTATAAAATAAGTGAAGCTACTTTCAAGATTATAAGTTCTTTCATTATAAAATTAAGGATGCATGGTGTCGTGGTTATATCATTGGATAATCAATGGATGCATTCAAATATTACAAGATTTAAAGAAGAATATAATATCTTGGATATGTATTATTTGATGATGCTAATACCCTTAAGGTTAATAGAAAGTGGATCATGTATGTTGCAAAATACAACATTGCATTGTGAGATACTAGATTCAATAAATATATTGGTAGCTTCTAAAATTAAGAATGATATTAAGAAAATGACATCAAATATAAAAAAATAAATAAATAAGAGTTGTTGTAAAATCTAATATTGATGATTCTAAAGGAGTCTTATAAAGTAAAACTTTGTTAAGTGGGAGCTTATAAAAGATAAATAGAAAAATATATGATATCTAGTAAATAAAAATAAGAATAAAATATAATAATAAGATAAATATTAAAAAGTTTGCTACTATTAGATTGGGCGGTTACGAAGTCGCAATCAACCTTTACTACTAATGACATGGAAATGCTACACAAAGAAGTATTTTAAACATAATTGTTAAGTTAGTAAAATGCAAATTTAAATTCGCAGTGGGTAATCATTAAATATTAATTATCTTGAAAAAGGACTAATCTTAATTTTTAAAATTGGTGGTTACCTAAAACTCTAAATTAAAACTTACTTAAAGGTCTTAAATTGAAGCTACCACCAAATATTAAATGGAAATTATTATAAATTCTTAAATAAAAGTTATTGTAAAAGCATACATGCAAGCTATAAGAATCTTCATAGAGGTTGATGACTAATATTAAAAGGTAAACATTTTACTGTATAAAATCATCTAGTCTCAAATATGTTGTCTTCACAAGAAGAATAAACAAAAAAAGAGCAAGAAGAAGAGAGAAGAGTAGTATCATTCAAGAAAGAAAGGATGAAGTCTTTCTGTACTTGCAAGTGCAATTCTTAGACTTCTTCAGTAAAAAAGAAGTCTATTTCTCATCTTTGTAAGAGGTGACTACATATTCTTCCAACTAGATAAAGTAGCATATTTATCTATATTTTTAATTCTACCTTAATAATAAATATTCATGAATTTCTTCTAAACTTTAATGAACTATTTGATGTTAGTGTGATTGTTGTGGGTGTAGGCTTATCAATGCCAAATCACATAAATATTGCTGTTTTATTCTATGATTTTTTTCTCTCTTTTACACCTATTTTGTGGCTTGATCAAACTTGCCCTGAGGTTGCCAAATATAGCGATCTTATACTCCAAAAAACATTTCCAATAACATTTTCTTAATGAACTTAAACCCGCCTATTTTCTATAATTTATTTCCTTTGTTTCTAATAATACTAAAAAAAACAATTTATTTTTTTCTAAAAATGTTAAATATTTATATTAAAAAAAATGCATTAACAACTAAAGTTTTATATGCACTTATAAGACTTTTGATTACATCACTATAAAAACATCTAAGAATTCCAGACCATAATTAATCAGTGCTATAACATAACAATGTGTTGCAGATTAACTCGTAATGATTAATCATTTTCATTGTGATCAATTTGCCTTTGATTTTAGTAACAAAGTAATGTTCTAAATAATGAAAGAATAAATTATGTATCTCTCTGATACTAAATTTATGTATTAATTATACCTATAAAATAAACTAAAACCTTCAAATTATTCCAAAATATTTTCATTGGCTATTGTTATTTTTAAACTTAAAAATCATAATGCACATTAGTTTGCATATGATACTCACATGTTTATCTATAATATATGCCTAGTTATATGTCGCATTTGGGCCTTCAAAAATAAATTTTCATTAAAATAAGATTTATATTTATTTTTTACTGAAAAAACTACTTTAAATTCTATGATTATTTCACTTTTCATTATCTAGCAAGTGTCTCTTTCTTGCTTTGGTAGTTGTTCTTTTCATTGATTTAATAACAAACCGAATCAGTTTGCTTTCATAGGCCAAGAAAAGTATCACCATGCATGCCATGTTCTTCTTCTTCTTCTTCTTCTTCTTCTTCTTCTTCTTCTTCTTCTTCTTCTTCTTCTTCTTCATTTATTTTGATAGGAAAAATCATTTTGGGAGGAAGGATCAAACTCTTTGGGAAGAAGACTACTCCATTTGGATGGCTCTGATTGAGCCAGATGAGTAGCCGACTATTACTGGAACATAATCCGACAATTATGATGTCTCCTATGTATATAATTAATGATAGATATCTACTCATAAGTGTTTTAAAAGTAAGGAAGATTTATATACATACCATTTAATTCTTATGTATTTACAAACTAACACCTAAATTTTGATTTTTTACGTACAGACCTCTTTACCTATGCATGGAAATATGTATTTTACTTTTTAAAAGTTAAAATGAAGGGATTTTTTATGGAGTAAAATGCTAAAATATTCTCTGATTATTTATATTACGTCATTTTTGCCTCTATTTTCATGAGGGTTAAAATAATCATCATTGGGAACTCTTTCAACCTCTATTAAGAATTTCAGAGACTAAATTGATATTTTTATAAACTCTATGATCAAACTGACCCCCTACAAAAAATCAAGAGACCATTTTGACATTTTTTTAGTTTTTTTATTGTGATATGAAATATTTAAACTATATAAATGTGGAATAATAAAGGATAGACATATAAAGACAGAAGAAATAGGCGGTATATATGTAAAAGCCCCTAAAAGTTATTGTTAAGTGAGTTTGATCCCCCTACACAATAATAAACTCACATCTTAAGAACTTTTGAGTATGAAAAAAGAAGATTGGAGAGAGAGAGAGAGAGAGATTCTTTATCACTTCAAACTTCTACCCCTATGGGGGATGAGTAAACATAAAACAAGATGTTCCTATAACTTTACAATGAAACTCAAATCAAAAGAAAAAAGAAACTTATTTCTCTATATGTTTCTTCTCTTTTTCTTCGAAAAATTATTGCGTATGGACACCGCACTTAAATTTTGCGTGCGGTATCGGATTAGAGCCAGCAAAAAATTAGAGTGGATCCCACTCTAACAATAATAAAAAAAAATGTATTTCAGCGGTCTTGATCCGTGTCCGTACACAATAATGACTCTGTAAGAAAAGCTCCCCTAATAGAACAAATCAGTCTTCCTTACTAAAATTTGCAAAAGATTTCTTGCAATGAAGAATTGCATCATGAATCGAGCACTCAAACTCCAAATCAAAAACCCTATTCACCCGACCCCCACGATTCCGCTCCATACTCGAGAATTCATTCTTCATCCTCACCGACCTTATCAGCGAATCGCCGCAGCTTCGAATTGCCCTCAGACTCATCATCATCTTCAACTTCTTAACCTTCTTGTACAGAGGAATCAGGAAATTCAAATACTTCCTTAATCTCTTACCAGGGGAGGTCTTCCTGTTCTTATGAGTTGGAGATGCGTTTGCTGAGATCGATTCATCCCAATGGTTTATCTCAGGGAACAATTTCTTCGAAGAACCGATCGAAAACGTTCGATTCAGAGCGGAATCTGGAGAGAAATGGGGTTCATTTTTTTTCAGTGGAGTCGACGGGAGAAGTTGTCCGTTGGAGAAAATTTGATCGGCATGAACCAAATTTGACGGCTCGGAGCTTGATGGAAGGGTGAAGTCGAAACTGGTTGAGTCGATCCAGCGCATCGAGAAGAAATCTGGGTCCATTTCGATGAAGGAGGTGCTGTCGATCGCATCGAAGGAACGGCGAAGGCTGTCTTCCAGGCTGTCGAAATCGAAGGGGGAATTGATGTTGGTAAGCCAGCCATGAGAGAAGCTCTCAATTGAGATCTGGTTTATGGACTCCATTAAAGTGAGCTTCTTGTTGAGAATTTGAATTTTGGTTGAGGAGAAAGAATATGGCGAAGAGAAGGGGGAAGGGAAAGATTCTTGATATAGGGCTACAAGTGGAGAAAATGTTCTCTCACCGGGCGCCAAAACTCAAATTCTCGACAAGAAGCCTGCTAGTGCTAGAAAAGAAGATCGGTGGTACGTGCAGCACCTCCCCTTCTTTGAGTTTTCCTAGAAATGAATTCATAATGGAGTTGGCCATTAAAGCCAAGCTGAGTTGAGTTCATTTAAAATGAATTCATTCTATGAGAACTTTTATGAGTGCTACAAAATTTGGCAGTAAAGTCATGTATTGTTTTAGCGTTGCTCGGGAATCTAGCATACACTCCGAGTAAAAAAAAATAACCAATAATGACACCAAAAGTTTTTACGTAAAAAGTCTGTAAAAAAAAAAAATTAGAGGGTCTGAGCCAGATGTAAAAATCTAATTTGGTTGATGATTACAAAGACCTCTTGTTTCACAAACGGGAAATGTTTACTATGATCGATGGATATCGACGGCGGCCGACGGCGATCGACGGGGGCAGGGGGGGGGTGGTATTGGACTCCAACTCATTCTCAAAACTTTAATTTCTTTCTCAAGTCTCTAGTGTCCTCTCATGAGAGAGATGATGTTATATTTAAAACGGTTTAGGTGCAATAAATACATAAATATGAACTACTTTGATCAGACGATCTAGAGGTCTTCCTTTGATCAGACGGAGTTTGATTGATATTTGAGTGTCTGAACGATGTCAGAATTGAGCAATTTTGGGCATGGTAGTTTCGTTTATCGAGATATTCGATTCTATTATATGCTTGCTAGATTCAACATTCGTTTAACCTTCTAAATGCGGCCTAAAAACTTCCAAAAATCATTTAATGATTTGATCTGCACTTGAATTGACTCGAATTTGACTAATTTTGATAACATCACGTTCTTCTTGTCGAGTCGGCCAGTTAAATGTAAGTTTATTGAAATCACCTCACTAGATGAGTTTTTATCAATGTTCGAATATTTCTTGATCAAAAACTCGTCTCAAGATTTAATCTTTTATCTCAAAACAAATTTTTTGAAAAATTGATTTTTAGATTTGAATTTTAGATATTTTTCCCTATAAAATTGCAAAGCCGTAGGTTGAATTGGTCAATGCAAATGCAAATTTTAGAAATAGCATTCAAAGCAAGGTGCTCGTTGAAAGCATGAGAAACACTTTAAATATATTGCTTTGCCAATAAACTATTCTAACAAGTCATTTAAAAAATATGTTATAGATAACTTGCTAATGAGATTAGAAGCCAAACAATTTTTTATTTATTTACGTATCCGACACCTAATCTTTCATACTTACACACATTGCGCTCAAATTTTTAATTTTGCACGAGAAAATAATACTATTATCACTCTTTAAAGGTGAAATCCGCCCTTTCATGCATATATTGAAAGCACCAAAATACTATGTATATAAACACGAAAATTCAAGGGCGGAATATGTAAATACATAAGAATTATGTTCTAGGCATGCAAATTTTCCTACAAATTATTATTTACAAATATTTTGCTCGACTTAACAAAATAGGTGATAGATATAAAAAATGTGAGTTATATGCATGTAAATATTAAAGTTTAGATTCGTAAATACATAAGAATCGTGCGGTATGTTTGTAAATGTCCCTTAATTTTAATTATGAGAATGTGAGGTGTATGAACAATTTTATTGACTAATTAGTTGAGGAGTGAAGGATGCAATTTCTATTTTATATTAAAATCAGTTGTAATAAATAATAATAATAAAATTTGTATGAATCTTAATGTCAGCACCACTTTTCATTCACTGTAATAAAAAAATTAAGTAAATTATTGATGTCATATTCAATGGTAGGGCCTATGCTTTTAGTGATATTATGGAAATGATTTCTTAATGATGGAAGCTTTTTCATTTTTGGTGTGCATGAGGGATGTTTGGGTGCATTGCACTAGTTAATGATGTCATTAAGCATATGGGCATAAGAAAAGATAAACAAGCTCCTTTGGATTATAGACCTTGAATATATATTAATGTGAAATAAATTTATAAGTAGATAGTTGTGTAAAATTATATATTATCAGGTATAATTTTCAAAAGATTTTTTTACAAAAATTTAGTATATTGTGTGTGTTATGGTATGACTCATATACCATATAGGGACATGCGTTGGATCGAAGTGGAGCGGAAGAATCTGTCTAAATCAGGAAGTTGCTTTATGTGGGTTGGGGTGCGGAGGCAAAGCCCGCGGTACGATACAGAGGTAATGTTGTAATTACATATTGTACTTAGGGTTTACTCTTGGGGTTATAAATAGACATGTTAGTAACCACAAGAGGTATCTTCTATTCTGTAATCTATTTTCTGAATATTGAAAGGAATTCGTCGCTCTGCTCCAGGGACGTAGGCATCTTTGCCGAACCTCATTAAATCTCTGTGTGTCATTCTGGTTTTTTGTCTATTCATATTTTTCTTCACCCTAATTTCTCAACAAGTGGTATCAGAGTCAGGTTCGAGGGCAGGGAATAAAAATTTTATCAGCACAGGAAGAAGTTTGGCGACAGTTCTGAGTTCGGTGAAGGACCGAGGTTTGGCGGCTAGGGCTTCGGCGTTTCATTGCAGGAAGCCGAATTTCAGAAAGGTGGCTTCAGAGAGCTTGCGAATCGAGGCATTTTGCAGAAGAGTTGTCGCGAACAGGCCAGAAGGGTTTCAAGGAGGTGTTCTGTTCAAGGGGTCGATTCGGTGTGACACGGACGGGCTTCAGCAAATTCCAAGGGTTCGAATAGGAGTTCGGCCAAGTCGACGCAGGAAGGAAGGCAACGTGGCAGAGGAGTTCGCGCTGATTGGCTCGCTACACGAGAGTTCCGATCCAGGAGTTCGCGAACCAGAAAAGGAAGGAGCGGAAGTGGAGGTGGAAAACTCCCAATTTGCTGGCTTTCCCGATTCGCTGTTTGGCTTTCCTGATTCGTTGGCTCTCATTTCTGTTCTGCAGAGAATAATCATCAGAAAGAATCTAGGCTTTTCCAATTTCTTTTGCTGGGACGCAGAAGGAATTTCGGGCGACAAGAAATTTCCGGCTTTCCTTTCTTTTTGCTGCTCCTAAGAAAATTGGAAGGGATGCGATTCGAATTTTATTTGCTGGATCGCGGCGGACGAAGAAAAGGTGACAAATTGCCTAAAGAAATTTCCTGCGGTTGAGTTCCCGAAATTCTGGGCGCGGAGTATATCGGGAGATATTCTTTTGCGGGAGATTAGTTTCTTGAGGCGGAAGATTTTATTCCTTAGCTGGAGGCATCCGAGGAGGAGGAAATTCTTGATAGACTCGGTGATATTCCAGGACGGGGAAAAAGGCAGGGAACCAGAAGAAGGAGCTTGAAGGAATTTTTACAGAAAAGATTTGTTGCAGCATTAATTTTCAGATGACATTTTTGGGTGCAAAGTTCAAGGTGGTGAAGTTTGATGGAACCAAAAACTTTAGGTTGTGGCAGATAAGGGTAAAAGATCTGTTAACGCAATAGGGAATCCTGAAGGCTTTGCGGGCAACGAAACCAGATGTCATGGAGGATGAAGATTGGGAAGAATTGCAACAACGAGCTGCAACTACTATACGCCTATGTCTTGCAGATAAAGTTATGTATCACGTGATGAATTTTAAATCTTCAGGGGAGATATGGAAAAAATTGAAAACTCAGTTTATGACTAAATCTCTGACGAATAAATTACATCCGAAACAAAAGTTATATGGCCTGAAGATGCAAGAAGGTTCTGATTTGGCGCAGCATGTTAATGTTTTCAATCAAATAATAACAAATTTATCACGGCTTGATATGACTATTGAGGATAAAGATTGAGCAATGTATTTGTTGTGTTCACTGCCTTCTTCCTATGAACATCTGGTGACTACTCTTACATAAGGGAAAGAAACTATCAAAGTTGATGAGATTACTGCAGCATTGTTAGCTCACAACCAGCGACAGCAGAGAAGCAGAATGTAGGGGAAAGCTCTCATGGTGACAGTTTATATGTGAAGGGTAAGCAGGATCGTGGATGGGAAAAAGAGGAGGGGGGTTCTGGAAGGTGAAATTCCAAATCAAAGTCTAGAGGCAAAAAGACAATTCATTGCTACAATTGCAAGGAGCCATGTCATATGAAGAAAGATTGTCTAAAGCTCAAGAAGCAGGCTGGGGAGAAAGGTGATGGATAATCAAAGTCTGTAAATGTGGTGCAGAGTGACAATTTAGATTGCAATGATGCCGATATGCTTTCAGTTTCATCAACTCAGTTCATAGATGCATGGATTATTGATTCAAGATGCTCTTATCACATAACACATAATAGAGAATGATTTACTTCATACACGTCAACTAATTCTGGCTCAGTTTATTTAGGTGATGATCGATACTGCAATATTGTTGGTATTGGATAAATCAAAATTAAAATGTTTGATGACACAGTTAGAACGTTATGTGATGTCAGACATATTCCAGATCTGAAAAAGAATTTGATTTTATTGGGCACTCTACACAGAAAAGTTTTATTCCTAAGGCAGATGAGGATAGAGAAACCATTAGAATTGTTAAGGGTGCACAGACGGTGATGAAGGGAAAGTTAACTGCAGGCAATATCTACAAACTGTTGGGGAGTACAATTGTAGGTGGAGTTAATTCTGTGGAGTCAGATGATGATAGTACAAAGCTATGACATATGCGTCTGGGTCATCTCAGTGAACGTGGGATGGATGAATTATATAGAAGAAACTTGTTGCATGGTGTTAAAAGCTGCAAGCTCGATCTTTGTAAGTTCTGTGTTCTTGGAAAATATACCAGAGCAAGTTTTATGATTGGAAAGCACAAAACTGAAGGGATTCTTGATTATGTGCATTTTGATGTATGGGGCCCTATCAGGGAATCGTCATTGGGAGGATCTTAGTATTTTGTTACCTTTATTGAGGATTTCTCCAGGAAAGTTTGAGTGTATTTCTTGAAGCAGAAATCTGAAGTCTTCTCAAAATTTAAGCTGTGGAAAACTGAGGTGAAGAACCAAACTGGCAGATGGATCAAGTATTTGAGGTTCAATAATGACACACAATACATAGATTCATAG